TTCTTCTCCTTTCTAGCACTACAATGGTTTGTTGATTTGGGTAGAGACCAAAAAAAACTTTGCCAACTGACTCTCTTCTTCGCGAAATTGGCTCAGTGTGTAGAGAGGTTCTTTTTCACTTGCTCCTTCCATTGTGCTCGCTGGAGTCCTCGTTTTCGTTGTCATCCCATTCGTGACGAGCCGTATGATCTTTTCAACAGGGGATTCCTAGAGTTCGTCATTCCATCTTCTTCGGTACTCGTCGATCAGGTACCACGTCACGTGAGATTTTTCGGTTAGGCTCCTAGCTCACATGATTGGGTTGCTACTATTTCCTAGGCACGAAGGTAGCACATACTACACTTTTCAATATCAGATTGAAGAAGTCGCACGATACTAAGTCGCCCTGTCTAAAACCTCATTTAGTCTGGAACGGCTCAAGATGAACGAACGTTTTACTCAACGTCACTCTATTTGCAGTATCAGTTTTGCAGGTATCCAAAATTCAGCTCTCTTTGTTCTTTACCTTTGGTTGATAAATTTGGCTTTTCTCGCCGCTGGATTTGAAGAAGGGTTTGGAGCTTTTTGGCCGGTTATATTGAATAAAACAAGTGTTTATTTCTTCTTCTACGCGTTTCGACGCATATTCGCGTCTTCTTCAGGGAGTCTATATATTTATAAATACGAAAAACATAATAATAACGAATAATTATTACAAGGAGCAAATAAGACAATAAAAAATATGTTTACACTAATTACACTTACTTTAATATTAAGCAATAAAATTATCAACATAAATTAAACATATTTAAAAACATTAAGACACGTTAAACAACACTGCACATCCTTCATCGTCAAACCTCAGACATTGTGTGTAATTGCAGTCGCATAAGCACAGTTTATTTTCTACGTCTTGTTTGAAGTTCATTGCTTCAGTTATTTTTTGTTGTATGCGCAACCCTTCTAATGTCATCCTTCTTCTCGTTCTGTTCTCCACGTCCAAAACCTTTGCATTGTCAAAATAGCTGTATGTTTGTTTTCCGTCAGGTGTTGCGCTAATGCTGTGGTACTCTTGTTGTTTTTGGCGTCTACTTATGTTCTTTATTCTCGTTCCAAGCGATCTCTTCGTTGTGCCAATGTAAACCTTGCTGCAGTTTTCTCCTTCTTTGCCTTGACAATTTTTTTTCGTAGACTACATTGTGTAGTTGTTCCTTACCGACTTCGGATAAAATTGAATTTCCACTTACATAAAAAAATATGATTTGCCACCTAAGGCAAATCTTAACAAATTATTAAGACAGCGACCATTTTTAAACTAAGTTTAAACTTAAAATTTAAGAAATTATTAAACACAAAGCGCATTTTGTCTAGGGTTGCCACTTAAAAAATAATTTGCTTTGGATATGTTTTTTTTTTCATACAAATTGTTATACAGATATATTTTTCCGCAAAACATTTATCTCTCCGTAGAGAAAAGTTTCACTGTGCCAATTATTATTTGTATTTAAGTCAATGCTGCAGACTATTTTAGCAAACGCTTGGGAATAAAAGTGGCTAAAAGGAAACGCAAATATTTTCTACACCGCGAAGTAGCAAAAATAAAGGTGCGTTCTGCAGCGCAATTGACCTTAAACGGAATTATACCACTAAGTAATAATATTTTCCCTTACAAAAACAACACACGTCAACCAAACAGAAACAGATAACACAATGCAACTGATTGCATTACACAATCGCATATGCAATCGCTTCGCAATATGAGCCAAAAAGGGGGTGTTTTTGTGTGCGTGTGCGCTCTTACATATTGTATGAAAATGTGTGGAAGTTTACGAGAAAGTCTTACAAGCTGTGTACACGTATGTGTGGGATATAATTCATATAATTTCCAAGCGCTTCGTATGCACTTCATTACGAACTGAGCCAATACACTTGACTTCATAACCTTAAAACCAGCCATACTTGTACGTGCGTATGTGTGTGGGTATCTGTGTGTTTGTGTAAGATCCTGCGCGCGTGTATAATTTTATTCGGCATGCCGACCTCTCTCGCTGCCACTATTTCCTTGTCAACAATGCACACACACACACAGCCACTCATATCCGATCCTATCTGTGTCTGCTTGCTGCAGCGCCTCTAAGTAGGCCACTAGTCTTGAATTACTATCGTTCGATAGTCCAGGACTAGGTATACATATGTACATATGTATGTACCATTATACATACAAATGTATGTACCATTATACATATGTATGTATACACACAGACGTCCATCCAGTAGAAAGCAAAATAGTCAGTCAGCACTTGCAGAACTGTTTTATAAATGCCAAGCTTATGTTTGCATTACATTTGTTACCGACATTATTATTGCACAGCGGCAGAGACAGCGACAGGGTCAGAGTCGTGAGTCGAAGTGGGATTCGGGGATAGGTGCAGGCAAGTGTCGATATGTAAGCTCATATGTATGTGGGCATGTGTGCCTTTTTGAGTGTGTCTGCTCGTGTGCCGGCCTGCGCTTGGGTTGGTGCATGGCAAGCCGGCGACGACAGCTGTCTGTCGCAAACGGCGCGGGGTCACCGGGTTACCACCTGCGGCAACTCTTACAATTTTATCAAGCATAAATTCACGGTAAATTGTTAGAGTCAGTTTTGCTGCTGACAAGTGCGCACTGCAGCAGCAGCAAGCAACAGGCTCAGTATAGCAGTAGCGTCATTGACTTGGCTATGTGGCTTTGAATCCTTCATTCGATCGAACAGCCAGTGACAGCTTCAAGCGTTCGCCTTTTTGTGGCAGTATCTTATCGAATATTGTTAGCAACAGGCTTGCGTTTACGGTCGCACAGGCAGCAGCGTAAGGTGTAATAATAAAGGAGCAATTTGCAAAATTTAAGTAATTCGTTTTTTGTGCAAATGGAAATCAGTTGATAAAATTGTATAGAAAAAATCATTTTGAAAAAAAAAATCGTTTTGNGGAAATCAGTTGATAAAATTGTATAGAAAAAATCATTTTGAAAAAAAAAAAATCGTTTTGAAAAAAAAAAATATTTTTAAGATTTTAACATGCCAATCTAAATATCTACATATTTATCTTAAAACATTGAAAATATCAGATTTCGCTAAAGCCAAGTTGATTTTAGTAGCGAAAAACTATGCAAAAACTGACGCAGATTTTAATTGAAAACTAAAATTTGAGATAATTTTGTGCGACATATTAACATTTAATAACATTAAAAATCAATGAAAACAGTGCAAAGTGAAAAAACGCCAACAAAATGAAGAGTAAAATACGTTATACGCGGAGCAAAAGCTTTAAGGAAATACTCGGATATCACTATGACAAGTAAGTGTAGAATACCTACATGCGTGCCAAAACATGCAAAAATTAAAAGGTCGAGTATTAGTGTGCGTACCGCAGAACAAAAAACTATTAAAGATTACATTTTTATTAAACTAGATTTTAGTTTTGATGTTTTATTAGATAAAAATATGTATTTTTTTCCTATTGAAAAATATTTTTCCTTAATAAAAGCATAATCGTATTGAGAATATACTAGTTAAAAGAAAAAAATATAAATATTTCTTAAAAAAAAATACGGACATATTTTTTCAAAACTGTATTATCTAATTAATCAAATTTTCTTTATTTTTACTTGACCATAAAGAATTTGTATTTGTATTTATTTGCAGCATAATCAATTCTATAACATTCCAAAAAAAAACATTCTTAAAATATCAACTCTGGTAAAATGTTAAATTGAGAACTTTACCTTACTGTAAATTAAAAATATTTAGAATAGAATAAAATAAAAATATTATACCATAAATTCTATTTGGAATATAATACAATAAAACAAAAAAAAACATAATAAAAAGTATATTAATTAAAATAATTAAAATTAAATTAAACTAAATAAAAAATAAATAGACAAAAAAGTAGATACTTCTCAAATCGAAATAAATAAACCGAAATGAGCTCAGAACAAATTTAAAAATAAATACATAAAATATAAAGTAAAATAAAATACAACTTTGAGCACAATAAGATAAAAATTATAGTAAAACTAAAAAATATTAAACTAAATAAATTGAGTAAGATAAAATAAAATAAAACAAAACCAAAATTTAAAATAAATAAACCAAAGAAATTTTAAATAAAAATAAACTTCAACAAAATAAAATAAAATAAAATTGAATAAAAATAAATAGAATTAGATAAAATAGAATAAATCAAAACAATGAAAAACATAAAAAAACATTATTAATAAATATAAATAAATAAAGAAAAATAGAAATATAAAACAAAATAAAATTAAATAATATAAAATAAAACAATAATATAAAAGTTGACGCAAAATTCAAAATTTAACAAAGTAGAAAAAATAAAATCAAGGCATTTAAAACAAATAACATTAAATTCAATAAGATAAAATAAAATAAAACGAAATAAAATAAAAACTTCAAATAAAACATTATTAACAAATAAAAATAAAATAAAGAGAAATAAAAATATAAAACAAAATAAAATAAAAAATTAAATTAAATAATATAAAATAATACTATAAAATAAAAATTAGACAATTAAAAAAATTTGAAATTTAACAAAGTAGAAAAAACTGAAATAAAATTTAAACAAATATAAAACGACGAACCTAAAATCGATGTACGCATTATCTGTCATTCTGCATCGAAAGCTAAATTTTGAAAAAAGGTGGACTTGGCACATTTTCACCTATAGGTAGCGAAATGTTTTTAAAAAGATTCGACTTAGGATTAGCATTTTATCGTTGTGCTTATGTTGACTTAAGTTAATTGTACAACTTATGTACATACATATATATATTGCAAGTTGATCTACTATGCCTAGGCAAACTCTGATCATCGATGGTAGAAATATTTGCATCGCTTTATATACATTATTCCATGTAGATATTTGTTATTAAATTTTATAATCACTTACAAAATGCATGTATGTACATATATAAAAAGTATATTCCATTTTCTCTTTCCTTCCTCTCTCCCTCCTCAGCGATGAGCAAACCGATGTTGGTCTTTCCAATTCCAATTACACCGCAAGTTCCAATTCTAGTCTTTCCTCGGGTGGCGGCTCTGAGAGTCCCAGCACCTCAATGGAACAAATGGGCGGCGCTGGTGGTGCAACCGCCACCGCCAGCGGCCATCCAATTACACATCATCACAGCATGCACGCCCACCACACTACACCGCATCATCACATGCACCAGCACAGCCATCAGGATTCGTTTCATGGAAGCATTGGTGGCAGCTCGATGAACACCAGCTTTTGGGGCAGCAGTTTTGGTGGCGTAGGCAGTGGCCAACCCGGTCAGCGACAATGGAATTTCGAGAGTGACGATGACGATGATCTCAACGAGGCCGATTGGAGTTCAAATGTTACAGCCGAAATATTAGCTGCGCTCACCGATGCGGAAAAGAAGCGACAGGAGATTATAAATGGTGAGTGGTTTGCGAAAGTTTCAACTTTTTATCTATATCATTTTTTTTCTATTTTTTTCTTGCGCCACAGAAATTTACCAAACCGAGCGCAGTCATGTGCGCATTCTCAAGCTATTGGAGCGTCTCTTCCTCTTACCGCTGCAAGAGAGCAATCTGCTCACCCAAGAACACTTAATGCTGCTCTTCCCGCCCGCTTTACTTTCACTACGTGAAATACACTCGACCTTCGAACAACAACTGAAGCAGCGTCGCCTCGAACACAATCATGTGGTCACACACATCGGCGATCTGCTGTCCACCATGTTTTATGACAAGTCGGGCGATGAGCTGTGCCAATATGCGGCACAATTTTGTGCGCGCCAACAAATCGCTTTGGAAGCGCTCAAAGAGAAGCGACGCAAGGATGAACAGTTGCAGAAGCTATTAAGTAAGGCCGAATCGCATAAGGCATGCCGACGTCTACAGTTGAAAGATCTGCTGCCGGCGGTGCTGCAGCGTCTTACCAAGTATCCGCTTCTCTTCGAGAATCTGTACAAGGTGACCATACGCGTGGTGCCCGAGAATACAACCGAAGCCGAGGCCATACAGCGTGCGCTGGAGTCGTCGAAGAAGATACTCGTTGATGTAAACCAGGCTGTGAAGACCGCTGAAGATGCACACAAGTGAGAAAATTAATACGAACTCTTTGTAATTTAACATAATTTCATACAAATATTTGTTTTTTTCTTTCTTTTCATAGATTGCAAAACATTCAGAAGAAATTAGACAAGTCAACCTTCGATAAGGATGAATTTAAGGTAAAACGTAGTTTTTTCGTTGAGCTATGCAAGGCACTTAGAATTTATAATTTTTGTTATTACAGAATTTGGACTTAACGCAGTACCGTCTCATACACGATGGTAGCTTGACAATGAAGAAGAATCCCAGCATACAATTGCACGGTCTACTCTTTGAAGATATGATTGTGTTGTTAACCAAACAGGTGCGATTTTAAATTTTCGTGAATTTATCAAATATTTCATACCGACATTTTCTATTTTTTGTGAATGCAGGACGATAAATATTCTTTGAAATATTTGCATGCTACACGCAACACAGAAGTCAACAATAAGCCAGTCAGCCCTATAATGAGCATCGATTCGGAGACGCTGGTACGCCAAGAAGCCGCCGATAAGAATTCATTTTTCTTGATTAAGACAAAAACATCACAAATGTTGGAATTACGCGCACCAAGCAGTTCTGAGTGTAAAACGTGAGTAAACATTTTCTATTTTTTATCATTCTTTGTTTTTGGCGTTGAGGCATTCAAAAGTAAAAGAGCTTGAAATAAAATTCCGGTTATTGACTGAAGGTTTTGTTGAATTAGTTATTATGCTATATAAAGAAAAAAACAGCGACCGTAACAGTTACAACTTTTATTAAAAAAATCGATCTTTAACAGTTATTTTTTAGTTTTATTTAATTATTCCTTATAACAATTGTTTCTGATTTTTATTTTATAAATCCAAAATAACAATTATTTTTGATTTCTATCTAAACAATCTGCAAATAAGAGCTGTTTTTTATTTTTAAGTTAAATGTCACATAACAGTTATTGAAGACTTTTATTAATAAAAGTCATGAATAAAAATCAGTCAGTGACTTTTACTTTTAAAAATCGTCAATATAAATCAGTCTCTGACTTTTATTTTTTTGAATCATACTTATAAGTCACTTGTATGAGCTTGTTCTCCAACACCTTCTTAACTGCGAAAAATGATAATGACTTTGATTCGTATAACTTAAAAAATAAAAGTCGGTGACTAGTTTATATTAATGACTTTTATAAATAAAAGTTTTCAATAACCGATATCTAAGATATATAATATAAAAATCAAAAATAACTGTCAGGTGCAGATTATTTAGAGAAAAATCAAAAATAATTGTTATTGTTTAATTTTGCGCAAATCTTACAAATAAAAATTTATTTTCAAATTTTATTCTAGGTGGAAAAAAACAAATCGATCACTTAGTTGTAGAACATTTCCTTCATAGTGAATTTGTCAATGACAGTTTTCGTCAATAACGTTATGTTCGGTCCCGGGAAAAAGTGTGTATATAACGGGTATTTTTTTCACTATAGGCGTACAGCATAGGCGGATTCTATGCACGTGTAACTCTAAGCAAATTTGCCGAAAAAACCACCAATAGGTTAATTTTATGCTCTTAGCATTTTGCTTTAGTGTCGCAAAAAGTGCTTAAATTTTGTATAAAAGCATGCTAAAAAAGGTTATGGTCTGAGGGATCTATTTCTGGACTTATCTTTTTCCTAAGACATCCGCCAGAGGGCGTAGCAGTGAAAATTTTCACTTTTTCTGACGTGTCAAAATAAACAAAAAAAAACGTATATTTTACTTATCCTTTAAAAAATTGTTTCATACAACTAAAATACAATAGAAACATTAGACTGCATCACCGAAAAGAGTTGCAGTTTGGATTACAAAATTTATTATATTTGAAGACGTCCACCAAAATATTTCGGAAAAATATTAAGATTTACGTGAGTTGGACCGATGTGACAAATAAGTTTTTGAAAAAAAAATACCCTCAGATGAAAAAACAGTTTAAGTTTAAAAAATCTGCATAAAAATATTTAAAAATCTTTTCAACGGAATGCGACTTTGATGCTGTTTTTTAACTTTTTTTTTAAAGATTGGGTTAAGAAAAACTTGAATAACTGGGCCAAAGCTATTCCGTTTTAGACATATGAGGTATCAGTGGATAGGTATTTTCCAACTCTCAAATAAACTCTTTTGAGCACTTCTTTACGACACTAAAGTAAAATAATAAGTAAACGAAACCTATTTTCCCAATTTGACAAAATCCAAATTAATTTTGTACCATTTTTTCTTTGGAAAACTTGCTTAGAAATGCACGTAGAATCCTCCCTTGCTATACGCCTATAGTCGAAAAATTTGTTTCGTGATTTTCTTTTACAATTTGAAAAATGTATGTACATATGTTCATTGAGAAGAAAAAAGATATTGTCCTCTTATGAACATTCAACGTGAACTGAAAGAAGAAAAGATATTTTCTTTGGTGACTATAATTTTAGAGCAAACAGATGGAAAATATAGACCGCTAGCACTTTTTTGTTCTCCAATTAGTTATCAGAGAAACGTTTTTTACGAGCCAGATACTACGTTTATGCGGCAGAAATCATTTCATGAATTCAAAAATGGTCCCGTTTATGCATAGTTCGCAAATTCATGAAATAGAGTGCTTTGAAAAAGGAGCAACACACTGGCTAGAAACTAAACAGTAGGGTTGTGATATATTGGTTTTAATATATTTTTTTACTTTATTCTATTTGAATTTATTTTATATTTGAACAATTCCACATAACTTATCCAGTGTTTAAAATCCTGGTTATGCCACTCATGGTTATTAATCTAAAAACACCATAACTACTGATAGAAGTTTTTAGAAAAGTATCGATACTAGTGGTCATATAGAATACTCTAAAGAAGAATCGATGCTAGTACTCATATTTGCAAAAAAGTATCGATAATCCTCTCACTTTCAAACACGAAAACTAAACAAAAATCAGATTGCTTTGTTTTTATGGCCTCTTCCTATTTGTAAATTAAATAGAAACTGCTTTAAGTAGTTGAAATGTGATCTAGCAAGCTCTTTTAAAAGTAGTTTTGAAATAAAATTGCAGTAAGTTTACTTCTATAAGTGTAATAGGCCCGTCAGAATGGGTACTTGTACGTCAATAACGGAAAAGTATGTGAAGGATGTGACGTACGTACCGTAGAGACACGCCACAATGAAGGTGTTGCGTCTGCAAACAAATATGAGCTGTTCCTTATGGCCGCGTACATGGGGTTTACACAAGTCAATTTTTCAGATACAATAGCAAAGCATTCACATTTTTATACCCGAGCGCACTTGTGCATAAGGGTATTATAACTTTGTTCACATAACGGTTGTTTGTAACAGGCAAAACGAATCGAGATAGATATAGACAAATGTA